CCATCAGCTCCGATAAGGAAGTCAAACTCGACTTCCTTTATTTCCGACGTTCTGGTTGCGATACTCGTCAAGCTTTCAAGCTTACTATCGGATGGTGTGGTAGCCGGCTTTGCCCCTTTTTCAGGGGTGTTACCATTGAGCCCCTTTTCTGCGTTCTTGGGCTTCTCCTTCCAGACGACGGACTGGAAGGTAACAACCTTGTTTTCGAAGTCACAGGATGACATCCTTTGGTTGAAGAACAGCTTTGCCGTCGGCTCCTTCATGAGGGCCAGCATGACATGCTTGGTGATCTTCTCTCGTTGAAGGGTGTGCAGACACTGTTCAACAAGTCAGTAAGATGAGATGGTTACTCTTTGGGAAGTGTAATGTACCTGTCCCTGAGGGCCGTAGATCATAGGCACCTCCTTGTGGTGACCATGCGAATCCCATGCATGCACCATCCGGGTATAGATTGGCCTGGAATTGGCCAAAATGTCGTCGAGCAGTCCCGGAACTTCAGCACCTGCGATGGCTTTGATGCCGCGATCCGAGAGAGCCAGGGGAATGACAGCGATGTCAGGTCTTGCATTTGGATCCCCATAGTTTGGGTCTATACCACGATATCAGCACACCATTCACTCCAAGAGTCCTTTCCGGCTGGGTTCCCCTTACCATCTCGGAGCTCGTACAGCTCGACTTGGTATCCTCGCCTCGCTGCATATAGAGCTGACAACGCCCCGACAGGGCCTCCACCGATGACAACGATCTTTTGCTGAGAAGACATTGCTATCAAAGTGAATCTTCAGACTGTACGAAGAGTAGAATATACGGTCGTATCAGATGGAACGGTTCCCTGCCCAGTTCCCAGTGATGAGGGGGTTTTGCACCGTCTTAAAAGCTCCTGTCACACCTGAAGACAATCAGGGATATGGCATTGTTAATATAAAAGTTGGGGGCTTATTCGAGGACAGAAGGTGAGCCCCGAACCCTGGATACCTACGGAAGGCTGGTTATCGTTCACACCGCTCCTAGCTGCCCAGAGGCGAATTTTGATAGGCATTATCTGGGATAAGGGGCTCGTCATTGTCAGCTTGATCGATCAAATGGGGAAATCCCATTCCGCCAACGTCTACGTCAATGGGATCACGCCGAAGTAGACGTCGTCCGTTTGAGTTGTGTATAGTTGAATTGCGATTCTGCCTATGCGGACATAGTTCGCTCACCCCAAGCCAGGAGCTTCACGTACATTGCACACCTTTCGACGGGAGGGGATGGCGACAATACCTCACTGAATCTACGTTGGGCTAGACTCATATCTACAACTCTAGTCTTACGTGAGATGAGTTCACTGTCTTGAATGTCATTGAGTACAAGGTATTGGGATAAGGGAGGGTAATGATGGGAGTTCGCCGGCAGTTATCCAACTCGACACACGTACCCGTGTAAATCACTCCCACAATTGGCTTCGAGGAGATTGCGACAACAAGAGTTTTTTATCTTCCTCTTTTGCGAACCTAGTTACATGACGTCGCCAGCTTGAATCAGACTAGGAGGAAGAGCGAATCTCGCTTCGGAGACGTATGTTCTCTTTTACTCGAGTAAGCATAACCCCTAAGATCTTCATTCTGCACATTGATGCCTAGGATATAACATACTCTTTTACCATTTGGCTTCCCTGTGCGCTTTCTCGCCAGAGACCAAGCATTTGTTTTGGCTGTATAAATATAGGGTGTTGCTATACGCGCTTGTCATCGGCTTGCCGCTGCCCGTGCCCCCGTCAGCTGGACATGATAAGCCTAGCCGTAAGTTCTCCGGGACGGACCGCAAGAGCGAATACGAGAACGCCAGCGCTATCTACCCCGGTATTTTTACTGGCTAAAAGCTAGCTACAGTGTTCTAAATCTCACCCACCAAATATAATAGTGACAGGCCAAGGCCGATCAACGATGGATGGGAATGCTTGGATTGTGAAGGGTTCAGGGGTAGGTATGGACACTCTACTGGGTACGGAACTTTTCAACCAACGTATGGGGGAAGTGGATGGACGGGGATTTAGCGTGTGCGTCAGAGCAGAGGAAGTTTTCGGGTTCAAGCAGAGGTGAGATTCAGGGTTCGGGGGACGTAAAGGACGCGGGTAGAAATGCGGGATATCACCTATTTTAGTATTTAATGAATATTCACGCCCCCAAGACACGCTGAGCGCCGACGATTTAGCTGCATATCCAACAACCTTAAGGCTGAAGCATCAGGCATTGGCTACAAGAGAGGTGCTGGGAACATATCTCGTCTGCAAGGGTTTTGAAACCCCAGCCATGCTTGGGCTAGATAGCTCTCCCCCACCTTTCATCAGTCGTAATAATTCGAAGTCTAGATAGACTTTAAAGTTATCGTGTGCGGAATTTTGGCGATCCCCGATGATCTATTGTGACATTTTCATGGGGGAAGCCACTGTTGAGATAGTGCTTAGTTCCTACAAGGGCCCCTGTATTAGCCCCGAGGTTAGGCAGGTTTCCCCTCCCGTGGAGGATGAAAATAACACACTGAAGAGAAAAAAATAGAAACCGAAAAAAAACCTGTCTTTCCGCGAATATCCCGTCTTTGTTTCAAGATCTACAACTTGATAAACCTTTACGAAAGAGAATATTGATATCGTTTTGGGAGTGTGAGGAGAGTTTGGGCGACAGAGCGGACAGTCTCTCATTAAGCGAAGCAATTGCGTATCGTCTGATGTCAGAAGATTGATGAACCCTCCTCCACGGTTCAGCAACCCTTCATCGGAAAATACTTCTCTTCGCTGCCACCGGATTTATCACATAAGACCCCTCCGCAGCAGGAAAAAACCGGTGGCTCAGGTGTACCCTGACCACGCGCGACTTCATTCATGAAAACGTGTTTTGTGGGCGCCGTTTTCTTCCTCCCTATCAAACAATCCTGCCGAGGAGAAGATGGCGCCAGCCATAAACGATAGGCCAGGGCAACCCCTTCCTTCAAACTATGAACTTTCCTCTCTTCCAACTACCTCCATACCTCCTCCCATCGAACCCAAGGATCACCCACCTACTGGCAAAGAAGACGGCATAACGACCCCTGACACTCCAAATGGGCTATCAGAGACCCCTGAAACTTCGACAGAAGATGAATCATCTTCACCGGCGCACAACAACACGCTCAAGGTGTCCAAAACCAAGGGCGTGACAGTCATTGTCATCCTTGCCGGGATCAGCTTCCTGAATACCATGGGCTCGGGAATTCTCATCGCCGCTCTCCCACGAATTGCCAAAGACGTAGGTCTATCAGAAGACTTGATTCTCTGGCCAGCTGCCGTCTACGCCCTCGCGGCAGGATGTCTACTTCTAATTTTTGGCGCCGTGGCAGACGTCATCGGCCCAAAATTGATGTGGATAGTTGGAAGCTTCCTCTTTGTGATATTCACCATAGCCACGGGCCTAGCTCAGACGAGTATCCAAATCATTCTCTTCCGAACATTCCTCGGGGTGGCTATCTCCATGTGCCTACCCACTGCCGTGAGTCTTATTACAAATACTTTCCCCAAAGGCCCATGGCGGAATACCGCGTTTGCGATGAATGGTATGGGTCAACCGCTCGGCTACGCACTTGGTCTGGTCCTTGGTGGCATCTTCACAGACACGATAGGTTGGAGATGGGCGTACCACATGATGGCGATTATCAACTTCTGCCTGTCAATGGCGTCGATCTGGTCATTGCCCTCTGTCCATTATCATACGGAGAAAAAGTGGACTCGCCGTCTTATTGAAGATATCGACTGGCTGGGTGCTATGATTATCAGTGCCGGTCTAGGCATATTGATGTATGTACTCGCAATGACAACTTCTTCCTACCAGAGGATTGGCGATACTCAGAACATCGTTTTACTCGTCGTATCTCTTGTCCTAGTAGCCGCTTTCCCCTTCTGGATGGATTACCAGGTCAAGAGGGGAAGACCAGCACTTATCCCGAACAGGCTCTGGCGAAGGGCGTCTTTTACTTCTATTTGTGTCTCTGTCTTCTTCTGCTGGGCATCTCTCAACGGGATCGAGTATTTCACAACTCTCTAGTAAGTCTTCTATCGTTTAAGTTATCTAACCACCACTCTTCGCAAATGAGCCAGTAATACTAACGAAATGGCACAGTTTCCAACAAGTCCAAGGTCTCCCCGCTCTACAGAGTTCCATACGATTCCTTCCTCATGTTATCATGGGCACGACGGTCAACATTGCAACCGCATACCTCATATCTCGAGTCAAAGTCCAGACCCTTGGCGTAATATCAGCATTAATCACTATGATCGCCCCAGTACTCATGGCCACCATCGAAGTCAATGAGAACTATTGGTTTGCGCCATTCTGGGCACTGTTTCTCTCTCCCGTGAATCCGGACGGTACGCATAAACGAACCCCTTTTCTCCCTCCCTCCCCATAGAAACTAACTCATTCCAACCCAATCCACAGTCCTCTTCACAATGTCCAACCTCGTAATTTCCGACGCCTTCCCGGCGGACATCCAATCCCTCGCGGGCGGTGTCTTCAACGTCGTCGCTCAATTCGGCAACTCCGTAGGCCTAGCAGTCACAGCCGCGATCGCTGCGTCCGTCACAGAGCATTCTGGCATTCAGGAGCACCGGGCAGCGTTGATGGAAGGGTATAGGGCTGCGTTTTGGACTATCTTTGCGAGTACGGCACTTGTGGTTGTTATTGCGGTTTTTGGGCTGAAGAAGGGGGGGACGGTTGGGAAGAAGGATGAGTAGCAGTGTAGTTGGTGAAGTAAGGGGTGGATGGGGGTTGTAAAAAACATATAAATTGAAATTTCATTCACCGCTGGAGCTTTTCGAACTGGCCTTTAGCAGTTTAATATACTCATAAAGTATTATCGAAACCTCCCTTGCGACTGTAGTAGCCGAAAGACTGAGCTTTTTCCCCTGCCAGGTGTGGCGGGCTTAGTAACCCAAATTTCCTCGAAGCCAGCAATATAATGAAAAACTGTGCTCGGTCAGCATCAAGCAAGTCTCCATGGCGTAATTGGTAAGTTACTCAATTATCTCGCATAAATCAACCAATCACTAACCCTCTATCAAGGCTAGCGCGTTCGACTGTTAGTAATAACATGTTATCGAGAGGTTCCAAGTTCGATCCTTGGTGGGGACGAGATCTCATTATCTTTTTTTTATAATTTTTTTTAAATTCTTCTACTCTACATCATTGCAACTTCTGGTGATATGTGAAAGGGATTCATTCCATTGAGTCTCGGTAGTAAAAAATGATTATGGTGACCTTGAGGTAGAGACGTATGTAAAGAGGCGATATTTATAAAACACCGTCTGACGCGGCTAGACAAAACTAGCCAGATACAGGAATTCCCAAGTCCTTGCTTTGCTCCTTCAATGCATTTTCAGCCTTGCCCTTGGTCCCCCTTCATAGTGGCTGTGAATACGCCTGAACGTGTCAGAATTGAATCAGATATCGTATGAAGAAATTTCAGACTGGCGTCTTTCTCTCTCTCTATCATAAAAGGCACTCTTAAGCTATGGCACGAGCTCTCTGAGGTCCTATCTTAGTTGACGCAATACTATCTTCTATCAGGTGGGGTTTTAACATCATTTATGGGTTGAGCTTTCCAGTTCAACTCAAGACTCACTATTATACTATTGTATATCACTATTATACCGCAGCTCTACGAAAGGCTTCGAGCCGTGCTTACTCTCCTCTTCCAGACCGACTCGGATGAACCCAGCAGCTCCCGATACGATTCCCTGCCACACGTGATCCCAGATCGATGCCCACGACAGCTTCCTCTCCCACCGATCAATCTGCAAATTGCCCGACGTCGACATTCCCCCGGGTGGGAAGATTAAGACGCTTCAGCTACCTGCGGAACCATTCTCACAACAACCAATCCTACCCCCAGCCTTCCCCTCCCAGTAATCACCACTTATCGGACCGCATAAGTCACTTGACCCAGGCTATCGGTTTCACCCAACCACACCCCTCCCACAGCTCTGAAGGAAGCTTCGAAGTCGACAGGAGCTTTCATTCTACGGCCGATAATACTCCCAGAGGAAGCCTTCTATGTGCTGAGGGAAATAATCGGGGAAATTCGCAGGAACGGAGTCTCCCTTCTTCTAGAGCGAGTGTGGGCGGGACGTCGAGCTTTGGGATCCAGACATCCCAAGATCAGAACCTGAGCCCTTCGACTCAGAGAGTTTCTTTCCGGGATTTTCAGGTTGAGGCAGATAGAATGGCGCGACATAGGACCAGTACGGCCACCAACGGATCGGCCGTTCACATCATGGAGCCATCATACCCAGCTGAGTCCCCAGAGAGCTCAAGGGCAACCATCTCCGAACCACCCCACAGCATGGACACATCCCAGACTGGTGGAAGACCATCCTCATATCTACAAGAATCAGGGAACGACAGCGGCTCAGAGAAGCCGAAGCAGCCCGCAACCATCCGATTCTACGCCTACCAAGACCCCAATAACTCACGACCCTCTCTACCCTTCACCCCAATGACACGAACCCTACCAAGCGACACCTCCATCATACGTGTGGGCCGATACTCCGAGCGAGACGGCATCCCTGTCCCCAACCCGTCAGAACCCTCCGATGAACCCGTTGGCTTCAAGTCAAAAGTCGTGAGCAGGAAACACTGCGAGTTCTCACTGGTTAATGGACAATGGCATATTCGGGACGTGGGGAGCTCTTCGGGCACATTCCTGAACCATATGCGGCTTAGCCAGCCTAATATGGAATCTCGACACTATGCAGTGAGAGATGGGGATATTGTCCAGCTCGGAATCGACTTTCGAGGGGGTGAGGAGATGATTTTTAGGTCCGTACGGATACGGATAGAGTGCAATCGCATGTGGCAGCAACGTGCGAATGAATTCAAGTAAATATGGCCCCTGATAAGAGCTTTGTTTTGGGACGTTGGTACTGACTATGGACAGTAAAAATACCGAGACTTTAATTAGTAACCTCGGAAAGGGCAACGCGGAGGGTTATGCTGGTTGCCGAGAATGCTCGATATGTCTCGGATCAGTGCTGGTATGTTTGTTTACCTTTTAAACTTGGATTGAGATTTACTGACCAAACGGGCTTCACAGAGACCATACCAATGCCTATTTATGGCGGCATGTGCCCATGTTTGGCACTACAAGTGTATCCGGCGGTTGATTCATACTCCGGAGTACCCTATGTTTCAGTGTCCGAACTGCCGTGCCTACACAGATTTAAGCGCAGAAGTCGATGACTCCAACGACTCCTACGAGGCTCCCCCCACCGCCCCACCGAATGGACTCCCAGCGAGCGAGTCTACCAACGGCGTGCTCTCAAACGGTGACCTGAACCCCCCGAGACCAGGACTCGATGACGCAAACCTCGCAGCTATGACCGAACATCTAAACCTCCAATCTGGCGGGACCCCACGTCGATCCGATGATAATCCTAGCTCAAACCACGCAGACGGGCCCGTCACAATAAACACCTCCTCAACATCAGAAGAACCCGGCACCCCTGAAAGAAGGACCACCCGGGGCCCGAATATAGTGATTCCAGACTCCGGCTCACCGGCTACTCATCTTGCTGTATCGTCTCAGAGTACTGGTACTAATCGTCGACTTCCCACTCGATCCGAAACACCTGTTTCTTCCGATCATATGGAAGATGGGCCTCTTACGCCGAGGAACGATTCTGGTCCCCTTGCGTTTGATGGCCATGCGGGGAGGTTGTAGATGGTAATGAATGCATGCGTGCATGCGTGCCTGTCATATCGTCATATATCACCCTCACCATCGCCCATTTTACAATTTACCACGAACCACCTCCCCACCCTTTTGACATTTTTCAGGTCGACCCTCATCAGCCCGGCGCCAATATTGAAACATCCTTCCCTCCATCCACCTTTCTACCTCATTTCCACTATAACAGCCTATCATGCCCAAGGAGTTTTTCTTTTTCGTCAATGGGATCTTGTTTTCGTTTTCTTATGCTGTTCTTTTTTCTTAAACCATGTCCATGTCCAATGAATGAGTACGAACCTCCCCTTTTTATTCTCTCTTTCATATCCATATCCGTATAGTATCTACTCTGCCGAGAGTCCCTACTTTTTCGCTCTTCGGGACTCGTTTGTTTACCCGAGTATGTATGGGGTGGTTGTGGTTGTGGGGCGCTGGAAGTACCACCACCGCTTTTTTATATATACTAAGGCAGTAAACTGAAATGAGGGGAAATAGAAGAATAACACGATGCTGAATCAAATTTCATGAACTCTATACACCCGCAAGATAGTTCAATTGATAAGAACATCACTATATCATAGTATACCTTTTATCCCACTTCTCAATAATCCTCTTCGCCGTAAAGAGTCCGCGAGAAACCCCTGACCGCATGACACCTATCTGGATCAAACTGGTTGCAACTCATATCCTCAGGGATAGGCGCAGCAGCGGAGAAGTCGAAAATAACCATTTCCGCCCCTCTCTTGCCGAAATTAGGGGCACGTTCATCTCCATGATGGAACCCAGCCAGATGCAGCTTCTTGACGCAATCTATAGCACCACGCTTCTCTTCCGCATCCATCTCCTCGTAGGAACTAAACGTCTTATCCAGCCTCTCCATCAAAATCACCCCAATCTGACCCTCAAACCACATCGCAGCAAACGCACCGTAGAATTCAGGTATGAACCTCTCCCCCTTTAATCGTTCGTAGTCTTCGACTTCTGACCAAAAAGGCAGGAATTCAGACATTTGGCACTCTTCGAACTCTTCGGAATTTTCGGGATGTATGACCTTCGCGACGCAGTGTCCCACTTTACCGTCTACTATGACCCGAGTGTCATAAACTCGTCCGCAGATTCCTGAGCCTATCTCTTCGAATGCGAGGATCTGTCCGGGCTTCTTGGCTTGCCAGACTAAGGGATTGGGCCCGAGGAAGTAAGGATCTGATCGCGGGAGGTCTGCAGTTGATCTGTATACGATTTCTTTTGCTTTCTGTGCGTTCTGGGAGAGGGGTGAGATCGGTGCGGTATGGGGTGATATATACGAGGAGAGAGAGAGAGGGGGGGGGGGGGGGGGGGCCCTCCGGCCCCCCGAAGCTGGGTATACATGCGAGGCTGGAAAATATGGGGGAGGAGA